TATAGTTGGGGGACTCGAGATCCCAAGGAGAACATACAAGATATAGAGCCACAAACAAAGCCTGACATTTCAATTATGCCAAGAGTATCCTAAAAGCAGGAACACAGCAAGAATAACAGCATTAAGGGGCACTCCAAACATACATTAGGATCTAAATATTTTCAGGGAAGCTGGAGTCATTAGAGAAAACTGGGATGGAGCATTTTTTTCTCTGTGTCCTTGTTATTTTAGAGACTCATGAATATTAAGCATTTCTTTCTGGGATGGGTAGCATTTCCTCATCAGGAAGCAAAATCACTTGTCTGCCTACTCCCCTATGCTAAATTGTTTTGAATAATGGCAATTAAAAAAAATTTTTTCTAGATAACTGCAATATAGGTTTGGTTACTTCTCTGACCAGTATAAAACCATCTGCCTGTAGGAGGGGCCAGTGGGCAGGTTCACCAGCAGGGCGGGTCTCCGCGCTCTGGGCGAGGCCTTCCTGCCCACCAGCCTCTGTCCTATGCAAGGAGGTGTTCTCCATATTTTCACACATCTGGTTCTTACCAAGCCCTGATCAATTCTGGCATATTAAAATTCACTATTGTGAAATCCCTAAGGCTTAAAGTTTCTTAGATGTATTTCAAAAAGTTAATAAAAATTTCTTCTTAAATTTTTTATTAGGAAATCATGGAGGGAGTGGAGATTGCTTCCCAGCACAGTCTCATTTCTTTTTTGAAATAAAATATTTTCTAGACTAACTTCAGTATGTCTACAATATCTTTGTAGAGGTTATAAGATTAATGACAGTGAAAAACTGCAAAAATATTTCTAAAGTGACCCCAGAAACAGATCTAAAAGAAAGAGTTTCTGGCTCTCAAATGAAGATTACCTTTTTTGCTTCTGTTGAAGCCCTATGCCAATTCTTCATCAATAACAATAGACTTGGTATTGTCACTGACAGCACAAGGGACACCAGTGCCCCAATCACACATCAGTTCTGCAGGCTTCTACTCCCTGGTGCTTACAAACAAGCAAAGCAATGGTGGACAAGGGCCACCAGCTAATGTGATACCCAGTGGCACGCTCAAAGAAATTACTGCAGCTAAATAGCACTTACCTGGTATTTACTCTCCAGAGTACTTGAGTGTCTGGAGTGGCTCTACAATCAAAAGTATCCAGGAAAGAAAAAAAAAAGTCCTTTACTTAGAACTCAAGAATGTGATTGGCTGGATCAATTATATGAAAGGAAAGTACTGTGTTAATTGCCAGCTACATGTCTGTAAGCCCAATGCCTCCATCCTAGCGCTGACCAGCCCTGGGGGGGGACATCAGACAAGAAAGGAGAACACAGCTGAGATGAAGTAGGGTAACGGTGGAGACCAGCGCAGAGGAGAGTGAAAGCGGTGCTAGTGGTGATAGCGGCCAACAGAAATTAAAAGCACTAACAAACCAGTGACCCAGTCCTCGCAGAAGGAGAGGGGCAGCCAAAAGGCCTACACTCCAGGCAGAGAAAAAGCAAAGTGACCGAGAGAAACCCAAGAAATTGTCAAGCAGGGGTCCTGTGATGTGGGCAAGAGGAATCATTTAATGAACAAATTTTTTTTAAGTTTTTGTTTTTTAAATATGTCTTTATTGATTTCAGAGAGAGGAAGGGAGAGGGAGAGAGAGAGAGAGAGAAACATTAATGATGAGAGAGTCATTGATCGGCTGCCTCCTGCTTGCCCGTCACTAGGGATCGAGCCCGAAACCCGGGCATGTGCCCTGACCGGGAATCGAACCCCTATCGCCTGGATCATAGGTCGAAGCTCAACCCCTGAGCCATACCAGCCAGGCTTAATCAACAAATTCCTAGTAAACACCTACATTTCTAGGGACCAGGAATGCAAAACTGAATAATTCACGCTCGTGCTCCAAGATGCTATCAATTAAGTCATTACATCCTAAGGACCACACCTCATATATCGGCATCTAGACCATTCACAGTTCAATCAGCAGTGCCAGTAAAGGCTCTCCAATTTAAAAAACGAAAAGCCGCTGGTCCATAAACCACTAACTGTACAGAATAGAAGGGCTCCTTCTCCATGGGCACTGGCTGGCTATGTGCTTACTCCACCGGGTAATAATAAAAGCATGAGAACTTCCCGGAGTGATCATCAAATTGAAAACCCTTATTTAAGGAGCTAGGAAATACGGGGATGTAGAACCTTAGCAAACATGAAAGGCAAAGCCAGACAAACAAACAAACAAACAAAAATTACAAAAACTTAGGTTTAAGTAGAAAACATGGTCTCAAAAGCCACAGCATCATCCCCCATGGACTGACAGAGGCAGAGTAAGTCCATGCGGTTTTAACCTCTGCACTCTAGTCTCAGTTTTCTCAGTTATGTTGCATCTGTATCAGGGAGACATCAGGAGACACCAGACACACAGACATCTGAATGCAAGACCCGGGGTAAATCATTCCCACTTGTTTAACATCAAACTGATGAAGCATTTATTTAAAAACATCCGTGGAGTTATAACAGCAGAGGGGGAACCCACAGTTTCTTTCCTATTACAACCACATGTTAAGACAATAGGCTTCAATAAAAAAATTACCTTCAAACACACTTTGTATGTGGGGGATTTGCTTTATCCCTTAACACTCCAGGTTGGAGAGACCATCGAGCGCACATTCCTTTGCAAAACTTAATTTTCTTTTGAACCCTGCATTGACCCTCAGTTTAACATCGTTCCAAATGCAGTCTACTTTGCCCGCACAAGATATTGCAGCTAAGCAAAACTGTTCTGGAAACCTCATAAATTGTATGAGCTGCTCAATTTAGGCCTGAGGGAGTAAATTGAAGAGAGCTAGCCTGTCATAGCGTTTTAGACTGTTTGCCGCAGAAATTGAGGATTAGTTCTAGATTGATTGAACTAGTTATGGTGGCGACTATATATATATATATATGTGTGTGTGTATACATATATATATATATACACACACACACATACATATCCTGCTATTTTAGTGATTTTTACCAAGCAGTCCTTTTACTTTAGTCCTTGATGCCATGCTCTATTTAATATACGTAAAGTGGGTTTGGTGTTGGGGTGAAGAGGGTACAAGGGAGGGACTGACTGGGTGCTCTCTAAGAACCCAGAGCTTTACCGGGACTTCCACACATTTTATAATTCATTCCACTTTAACCACTGTTCACTGGATGCCTGCTATGTGCTAGCTGCCCGGGACTCAATATTGACCAAACAGAGGTAGACCCTCTTCTTATGAAGGTTATGGTTCATATGACACCATTTAAACTGTGAGTCAGATAAATTCCTGACTTCAACCTTATGTTGATTTAGAAATCTAACGCTTCGATTTACTAGCTGTGTGACCTTGGTCCATTTTATTGATGCCTCAGTGTCCTCATCTGTAAAATGGAGTTGCACTGAGGAATGAGTGAGAACAAAGAGCTCATCTAAAAGGCCTGGTGCAGTGCCTGGGCGCACCGGGGTGGTGTCTGCCTGCCTTCCTCAGCATGGTGCTCAGTAGGACACCGAGGTGATTTTGTAGATTTGAGTAGGGGGTTCACCCTTATGATAGTTACAGCCACCAGGGGGCAGTAGGAAATGTGAGGTGTCAGTCCCAGGGAATGAAACGGGGCCACTAAAAACACATTTCGTTTTTGTGCTGTTTGATAAAAATAAACAAATGAAAAAACAAACAAAAAAATTAAACAGTCATTTAAAGAAACTAATCCAAGCAAAAGGAAAAATAATGTTCAGTTATTCGAAAAATATATGTTGAGTGCCTAATCTGGGCCAGCCTCTGAAGATAAAAATAGTACCTGCCTGTGGAGTGGTTTGAGGATTAAATGAGTCACAACAGTCCTGAAAAACAGCAAACAGGAACTCTGTGCAGTTATTATTTGGTGGGGACATGTTTTCAGAGTGGCCAGGAGAGAAAAAAAGTGGTACCGTTTGTCATCTGCCGAAATCTCTGAGTATTTGACTTTTCCTGGGAATCTCTTTTTTACTAGAGGAGCCAAAATCTTTCTGAGTTATCATTTGTTAATTTTTCAGTCACACAGGCCAATTAAAATAAAAGGTAATAAGATGGAATTTAAATGTGCCACATGTAAAAATTCTCAAAAGATTCATTGGGATGATTAAGAGAAATGCTGTGTCTGATCAAAGTCTGCCTTATCTCATAGAAAATGAATCTAAAATGTTCTGTTGGTTTTTAAATGATAGTGTCAATTACACATAGAAGTGTTAGGATAGACTGGCACTGATCCTATATTTTTTCTTCTGATTCTTTAACTTCTAGTATGTGACTTGTGAGAGCATGGCTGCACCCCTGTTCATGCAGAAGACAGCTGCAAATCTGGGGTGATGAATACGCACAGACATTTGTGAATGTAAAATCCAAAGTCATCATTACCCAACATCTGTAATGCAGTACATGAAGGTGACAAAGTCTTTCACGTGATTAAATACATTAACAAGGTATTTTAAAATCTTCCACTTTAATGTCTTCCCCATTTGAATACTGTCACTGAGATGTTTGCCCATAGCCACTGACTGTATTTTTAATGATAACTCTCACTGTGGAGTATCTGTCAGCACCTGCGGATCGCTCCTCAGCCCCAGTACAGAAAAGAATGAGACATTCCCTAACGGCGACATGTCCCGTTCAGCTACCTTGAGGCAAGAAAATATTAAAACTCGATGAAGGCAAGAAATTAAAATGGGATGCAGATTTTTAAAAAAAAAAAAAGAGGATCTGAAAACAGACTGGCCTCTATTCTACTCAATAAGTTGCAACGTTAAGAGGGTTATCAGATAAAATACAGGATTTTTATGTAATATTTAAGGCATGTTTTATACTAAAAAGTTAATCCTTGTTTATCTGAAAGTCACATTTAATGGGGTGTCCTGTGTTTTTACTTGCTCAATCAGGCAAGCCTATACATAGGACACACATGTAACACAGAATCTTCACTCTTTGAAGATAAATACTGAGAAGACTTTACCCGACTAGGCAGCTGGGAAGACAGGGAGCAGCTTATGGAATTCGTCAGGTCCCTCACTATCCAGCACAGCGGAAAGCCCAAGAAAGGGCTTCACCTACTTGTCCATTTCTGCAGGCCACATAGAGCTGGCTGCAAAGTGGCAAGTGACAATCACTCGAAGCACAGGGCCTAATGAGGCAACGCAGTGCCAATTACAAACAAAGCTAATGATGTACAGAGTGAAACATCCCAGCACTCGCAGCCATGGTTCTAGAACTCTTCTCTAGCCTGTCTTCATTTACAGCAAGCAGCAAGCGCGTTTAAGTCTGAAAGAAACACGGTGGCGATCCTAAACAGTTCACCTGCCTCCTCCCCGCTTCCCTCTGCCATTTGTAAGGCAGCTCTTACTCGCATCCTAAGTACTACATGCTCTGTTTTCTTGGCCTCATATTTCTCCAGAGAAAATGCACTAATAGCCAATAAACACATGAAAAGATGCTTTACATCATTGGTTATGCAAATCAAAGCCACAGTGAGATGCTTCACGCCTACGAAGGTGGATATAATTTAAAAAATGAAAAACAACAAGTGTTGGCAAAGATGTGGAGAAACGGGAACCCTTGCACACCGCCAGTGGGCATGTAAGATGGCTCAGTTGCTTTGGAAAAAAGTTCAGCAATTCCTCAAAAAGTTCAACATGGGATTTCCATACGACTCAGCAATTCCATTCCTAGGCAGGTACCCAAGGTGTTCAAACAAAAGTTTGTATGCAAACATGCATAGCTGCATTATGAATTCATAATAGCCAAGGGTGGAAACAGCCAAGTGTCAGTCAGTGATGAATGGATAAACAAAACATGATGTATTCATACAGTGGAATCGTGCTCAGCCACAATGAAGAGAGCACTATAGGTACTGTTATCAGGACGGCAGTGCCCTTAAGAGAAAGGACAGGTCTTCCACTTGCCTTTCCCTTCTTCCAGCGGGACGATGCGGAGAAACGAAGGCAGCGCCACCTTAGATCGCAGGAGGAATTTATGTGCTGAAGGCCGCAGCAAAGCTGGATCAAGACCCAGGGTCCTCATACGGTTCTCACACATCACCTTGTCACAGAAGAGAAAAATAAGCTTTCATTTTGTTTTGGCAATTATCAGGTTTTTGATATAGCAGCCGAGCCTTTGTGCTAACTAATCCAGCAATCTCTAGTTTGCTTATGTACTTGCTTCTAGCAATATGTCATCTATGAATATTTATATTCCAGAGTGATTCCGGATGACTTGGAGAAACCAATCACTATCTCATCTTAAAAACTGGAGTAACTGCAAATGAAACAGCCAATCTTTGCTGATATCTAATAACAAAGGGGAGTGAGGCAAGTGCCAAGTAAAAAATGCAATGTAAAATTGACAAGTACTGGATACCTATCATGTTCTAGGCAGGATGCTAGGTGCTGTGCATAGAGTGGTGGGCAAGAGTGATATAGTCCTGCAGCCACAGAATTTGCAGTCTGGCTGGGAAGGTGGGCAGGGGCTATGAGAGGGTGCATGGAAGCACTCAGCATGAGTACTTTACCTATTCTGGGCCCAGGGAGTGAGGTAGGGGTGAGGGAGAAGTGTGTGCAGGATGATATGGTGCTTAGAAAAGGCTCCTAAGCTTCTGCCTCCAAACTACACAACTTTAACAAGTTGAGTGTAACTACAGAAACATCTAAGCCCCTACTATGTGCAAAACTCTGTGCTAAGTCCAGTGAGGGATACAAAGATACGTTGTATGCATAAATAAATTGCAAATTAAATTTAATAAAGGATATTCTATGGTTAAGCCTCTTAAGAGGACACACATACAGTATTATGGGAATGAGGAAAGTGATCATAGTTCAGAGTTCCAAAGAGGAGGAAGCTGTGAGAGAAAGAGCTCCAGGAATCTGCATATGAGTCATCTTGAGTCTTTAGTTGAATATTAATCCAAATCAGGGCAATACTCCATGAGGCCAGGCAAAGAATAACTACCAGTGAAAGAAAAACTACTTAGGAACCATTAACTGAGAAGCTACTGGAGCTCATGTAGTACTAGAAGGCATGTGAGTTCTGGCAGCCAGGGCAGAAAGACCTTGCTGCATATCAGGAATATTCGGTAGATTCCAAAAAGGCCACGCTTTGAGAGTAGGGGTAAACTAGCCTTAAAGGATGTCTAAAATTAAAAAGAATAACCATACCAAGTCTTGGTGAGCGTGTGGAGCAACTGATTCTCATACATTGCTGATGGTGTTCCAAGCACTCAGGAAGATTTGGCTTTTTTTCACAAAATAAAGTTAAACACACATTAACTGGTATTTACCCAAGAGAAATGAAAACTTACCCACACAAAGAGTTGTACACAGATGCTTATAGGAGCTTTATTAATCATTGCCAAAAAATTGGAAACAATCCAATGAATGACTGTATAAAAATGTGTGGTTTAGCCCTAGAGGGTTTGGCTCAGTTAGAGCTTCAGCCCTCAGGCTGAAGGGTCCTGGGTTCAATTCTGGACAAGGGCACATACCTTGGTTGAAGGTTCTGGCCCCCGGGCCATGTGCGAGAGGCAGCCAATCGATGTGTCTCTCATCAGTGTTTCTCTCTCTCTCTCTCTCTCTTCTACTCTCTCTGAAAAGCAATGGAAAAAATATCCTCTGGTGAGCATAAAAAGAAAAAAAGAGAGAAAATGTGTGGCTTAGTCATGCAATGAAATCTGCTCAGGATTAAATGAGTTACTGATACACTAACAAAACGGGCAAATCTCAAAAACATACCGAGCCAAAGAAGCCAGCCCCCAAAGAGTAGACATACTGTATTTGTAAGAAGTTTTAAAACAGGATTACTAATCCATGGTGTGAGAAAACAGATTAATTGTTGCCTGGGCTGGGCATACAAGGAGGCATTATGACTGGAAAGGGGTAAAAGAGGGCTTTTTGGATGATGGAAATATTGGATATTTTGATTGAAGTGGTAGTTATATGGGTCTGTGTAAATGGCAAAATTCATGGAATATCTACACAAATTGGGTGCATTTCCTTGCATGGGTATCATACCTCAGTATAGCAGTTTTATTGAGATGAAATTCATATAAAAGTAACCATTTTAAAGTGTATAACCCAGTGGATTCTAGTACATTCACAATGTTGGGAAACCACCACCTCTATCTAATTCCAAAACATTTTCATCACCCCCAAAAAGAATCCATATACCCATTGAACAGTTATGCCCCATTTCCCCCTCATCCTGCCCCCTAGCAACCACTAATCTGCTTTCTGTCTCTGTGGGTTTACTTGTTCTGGATATTTCATATAAGTGAAATCATACAATATGTGACTTTTTGAGCCTGGCTTCTTTCACTTAGCAAAATGTTTTTCGGGTTTGTTCATACTGAGCATGTATCAGTACTTCGTTCCTCTCATGGCTAAATAATACTCCATTGCATGCACGTACCACAGTTCATTTATCCATTCATCTGTTGATGGGCATTTGGGTTGTTTCCAGCTTTTAGCTATAGTGAATCCTTCCCCCTTCATTGTAGTAATGTGATGTATTAAATTGCATTGGTTGATTTTCCTTATTTTGACCCTCTCTTTCGTTCTTGGGCTAAATCCTAATTGGCCATGGAATATAATCCTTTTAATTTTCTGTTGGATTCTGTTTGTTAGTGTTTTGTTGGTGATCATTTTTACATGTATATTTGCAAGGGCTATTGCCTGCAATTTTCTTTTCTTGTGGAGTGTTGGTTTCCGGATGGAATGAATTTGGAAGTGTTCCCTCCAATTTTCTGGAAGAGTTTGAGTAAGATTGGTATTAATTCCTGTTTAAATGTTTGGTAGAATTCACCAATGGAGCCTCCTGGTTCTAGACATTTCTTTGCTGGGAGGTTTGATTACTAAGTTAATCTCTTGTTACATAGATCTGTTCAAATTTTTATTTCTTCTGAGTCACTTTTGGTTATTTGTGTATTTCTAGGAATTTGCCCATATTTCATCTAGGTTATCTATTTTGCTGACCTACAATTGTTCATAGTATTCTCTTTTAATCCATTTTATTTTCTGTAATGTTGATTAACAACCTACTTTTATTTCTGATTTTAGTTGCTATATTTGTGTCTTCTCTTTTTTCTTGATCAGTCTAGCAAAAGGTTTGTCAATTTTGTTGATCTTTTCAAAAAACCAGCTTTTGGTTCATTAATTCCCTCTATTGTTTTTCTGTTCTCTAATAGAATGGATTTTTTTAATAGTATGGCAAAGAAGACAGATAAACCAGTCCTAATTAAGAACTCTTTGGGGGGTTCTTTGAAGGGGTAGGTAGAATTTGGCCCTTAAATTCCTAAAAAGCAAAGTTTTATTTCACATCTCTCTCCCAAATTGAGAAAAAAGCCTGGAAAATTGTGCCACTTTTGAAGAGTTGCTAATTTAGAAAAGGAGAGGCATTTGGAGAAGTTTGTGTGTTTATTTCACCTCTTATTTAGGGCTTTGGGGTAGTGGTTAGCTCCTAAAATGCTAATGCTAAGGAAAAAACTCATACAAGCAAATCAGCTTACCTTTCTGTTCATTGCTTCTTCCAACTTCCTGATCCCCGACAGCATGGAGTATGATTGTTGGTTTGGGATCTGAAGTAATACAGAGGCCTATCTTATTTATCAAAGGGCTACATGCTTAGGTCCTGAAGAATGTGTTTTGAAAATGAGTGTGATCAAAAGAAATGGTATTAAAAATAGTGCTTAAAGGTAGAGCCTTTCAGACTCTTTCAGACGCAGGGAGGAAAAACAATTTATGCATAAGTATCTTGGAAGCTTGTTTTAGAATTTGAAGATTGAAACCTTTTCTTTTTTACCATTTCCAATCATGCCACTTCTTTTAACATATATATTAAAGAAAAGAACAGAACAGATCAAGGTGGAAAAACAAATTTCCTAAAAGTTTTAGACCATGTTTCATCATTGCATTCCTCATGAAATTCACTCCCCCACACACAAAATGCAGCAATAAGCTATTACCTTAAGAGATGCTATCAACTTTATTAGTATGAAAATCCAGGTTCTATCTATCAAATCCAGTAAGGTTTTGTTTGCAGCTAATGATTGAAAGGTGTATTTTTCTTTTTGAAATTACAGTGAGCTTTGAGACACATACACACATTTTATTCTCCATGTTCAACCTCTCAGTAATCTTTTGTTGTAAAAGCAAAACGATTAGAAAATGGGAGTCTTCAGTTTAATCTTTTGTAAACTCTCCTGAATTGTTCTCTAAGTAGTGTAAAAGGAGAAAGCTCACTCATCTCACACAACTCACACATCGATATCAGTCCATCACAGCCAGTAAATGTTAGTCAAATGAGGCAAATTCCACCCACTATGTCATCAGCAGGCTCTTACTAATAGTTCAGTGTGGCTCTAGCACGATTCTGTTGTGCTCAGAAATAAATTCAAGGTATATATTATGCACTAAAGAATATACTTGCATTTAGGTCAGTCCAGCTTTCTGACTGACCACTTACAAGTTAAATAGCTGCCATGTAGGAAGGCCCAACAAATTTTGCTGGTGATGTTAATACGTTATATAATTTTTAAAACCTGCTGGTGGTCAAAGTGTACACACATTTCTGTAAAGATCCCCACAGCACTTCCTCCACAGTGACGTGGAGCTGTGACATCAGTATTTTTCCAGAGATTTATTTTATTTCTAAATAAAACCCAACTCAGCAGATTTACAATCGTGATACGAATGATCAAAGCTATCCAAACATTGAAAAAGGGAACTATTTCTCACTGGAAATTCTGTCCTTATCCTCTTACTGCTTGAAGAACACGCTTTCACGATCTCCTCAGACCACATAAGAACAACGAACAAAAGGCTGTTGAATGAAGACACCAATTAAGACACAGAAGCATCGGATAAAGAATTTCCACAGTAAAAAATATTTCACATCTTGCTCTTCACCTGAGCTATGCTGGTCAGATACTTTGTAACACACTATGTCCCCTTTTCTCTCTCAGTCTGACATTGATAATAAAGTCCAGGATGGAGACCTGGTGGTGTCTGATTGCCATGTACAAATTGCCAAGC